GTCCTGAAAAGTGAATGTCACTCGAACGCGCACTGTTTTCATTTTGATTGATTGAAGACTGGTCGGCGAGAGAAGGATAAATCTGACAGGAATCTTGACATCTTCGGTCGCCTCAGAATCAATTATACCATCAATTTTGCTGAACAATTCAAATGGAGTACGAGTAGACGTTGAACCAGGAAGGAGTTTAGATGGTGAGCTGAATATAACAGAAACATGATAGTGTGGATGGGTGTTTCAGTGTGGATGGGTGTTTCAGCGTGGAAGTGTGAGGTACGGGTATCGATTTAGAGAGAATCTACATCGACACCCGCATCCTCAATTTACTCTGAGCGTTCGGATTCTAGCTTTTACTTTTTTCAATCTCTCATATTTCTCCGTCCTTTGTTTACATATAACCAAACAAAATCTTAAAAAAACTAATTGATCCACTGAAAACATTAAAAAATATCGATTGAGCAAGTAAATGTGTGAAAAGTTTTTGTCGACAATTTTCTTGACCTTAAAAATCTAGATCTAACTGAATCACCTTAGATATCTTCACAATTAGCATTTTCGCCTTTCACCTCCTCTCTAAAAAAATGTATTCTCAAAATATTATTCCTTGCGCGTCTCAGTAGAGCTGTTCATTCTAACTTTCAAATTGAACCTTATCTAGTAGGGCATAAACTTGAACATTGGACATCACCTTTAATGTTTCGAAGTTTCAAATTTGTGACAATATAAGACTTACTCGTCTCGCTCACGCCATCGACTTGGTACTGAAGAACGATATGTAGTACTGGAGTATTGCTGAAAGAAAGATTGTCGATTACTACAAAAATTAGATGAAGGAAGTTACTCTAGTATATTAAGATCAAGCAGCATACTTATAAATTGAATATCTATTTGTTGATGATTTTATTGTCGGCTTGTCATTAAGACGAATGCGCCTGTAAAAAAATACAGTTAAACAAAGTAGTGTACTTCTTTCGAAAACTTACACTTCCTGTAAATTCGCACTTAAATTCTGCTTGCCATCTGTTTTTATGTTCGAGTGAGATTCGTTCGGAACAAAGGATTTCGGCATCTCCTGATTTTTGGGTTGAAAGCTTATGCGCATTTTGACAATAACACGATATGAATGAAATTTAAATGAAGAAGCGCTTATCTATAATACTTCTATTTTAATACATGCTGAAGACCTCTATTCTCTGGCGACCTTTTACTCAAGGTAACCGACTATTTTATCTTTGTAACGTAATATCGACATTGATGCAACTGATATGCGCATTTTGACAGTAACACGATATGAATGAAATTTAAATGAAGAAGCGCTTATCTATAATACTTCTATTTTAATACATGCTGAAGACCTCTATTCTCTGGCGACCTTTTTCTGAAGGTAACCGACTATTTTATCTTTGTAACGTAATATCGACATTGATGCAACTGATATGCGCATGTGACGGTAGTCGTCATAAGAGGAGAGACGTACGCTTACTTTGCTTGCTGTCTTATCTAGAGAGACAAACAACTACTTCTCATAGGACACAAATTTGCTGAAAAATGATTGAGTATTTCAACGAGAAGTCTATCACCACTACAACGACCTTCTTCAATGAAAATATCAGTTATGATCATTTCTGAAGAAACTTTGACACAATAAGCTACGATTATGAGTTGGTAGGATCATCTAATATTTTAATTGGAATTTTATTTCTACCCCTGCCTTTCCGTTTTCAAGACATTGTCCAGTTTTTTCACGAACGTATTGAGAATTTTTCAGAATTGTAATTAGATATTGTTCTGAAATAAAGATATCAGATCTTATAAGAATTAAGTGGTAATCTTAGTCAAGTTCTTCAAGGAAACAATAAGACGAGTCTCGTCAATATTTTATCTGGTTCTTGTTAATATTAAGCTCAGAACATTATTAGACGACTTCTACCCAGAATCGAAGGTGTCTCATTAAAGGATCTTGTCATAATACAAGAAAAGTTTCTTAACAACGATATCTTATTGGAGTTATTTAATCACAAAAAAAGTTTATTTAGTAAACATCATAGGTACATCAATAGAAAGTAAAGTCGTGTCATAGGCACGCATCGGACTCAGATCTGAAGGTTCGGATCTAGTCGTGACTGCGATTGTTTCTAGTTAATTGATAAAAAGAAGAATAAGTAAGCCGATAGAAAAGATTCAATGGTTGGTCATGGCAAATCTTCATACAGTGAAATAAATGATCTAAAAATTGAAGAACTACAGGCATTTTCAACGAAAGTCAACGATGTTCAGAAATATTCTTAGTACGAACTTAACTAAACTTTATGTTGTTTCCACAATTGCTCATATCGCTTAAAAGAAGTTTGATGCATGCTTGATCTGAAAGTTTCTATGTTTACTTCGTTATAGTCTTAATATAAAAGTAATTATACGTTTCACACTTTGATTAATTATGCTTTGAAACAGCTTACTAATTCAATTACATAACTATGATATTAAATATTATATTTATTCAGAAGAAAAACATAGCAGAAACACAATACAAAAAGTTGATTTTTGTATGGTTAAAATACATGTGTTAAACATTAGAGATATAATATTCACAAAAGTTTTATTTATTTATTATTGGAATCCAACAGACTTCGTTGAACTAAGATGATCTAAGAATCTATCAACATGATATGGTTGCCCACTTTCGAATGTTGGTGTGGTTATTGAATGTCTATTTTGATAAACATGTGTTGGTTCTGAAGAACACTATTGGAAAGTATTATTTGAATTTCACCTGATTTGTCATAGCCATAATGCACAATATGTGGTTCTTTTCTCTTGGTACATCTCCATGATTCACAGATATTCTTGTATTTTCCTGGGAATTTGTATTGGCAAATGACTCATTTTATGATAAACGAATGAAAGAACAGAAAAAAGAATATTGACATAACTATGTCATACTATAACAACATGATTTGCTTACGAAAGTTTCTTCCTATCATTATAATATGGAATAATCCAAAGCTATACTTTTGTTTTTATCTCAGATTTCATTAGTTAGAAAACGACGCTATTGTAGGCACAATCGTTATTTATGATATTTGTATTGAAAAAGGAACACTAACTAAAAACTTTTCGCCAGTCGAAATAAGTAAGTAATTGTTTTACTTGCATCTGTATGGAGATTGATAATTCAGTTTACGATAAGGATTCAGTCAGGAACGTATGACATCATGTGGCTTTTTTTATTTTTCTATATTGTAAAAATATTTTTCCATAATTGATTTTTTTTTGTGAAAGGAATGTTAGTGTTTATGCCAGTTCGAGAAGATTTTATTACTAAATCGTAAAAGCAGCATTTGTTTGACAAAGTTTGACATAAAATTCTGTCTTTCTCGTTTCTTCATATTCTACTTGTGAAAAAAACGATGCAAGTGCTTTTCAGAAATGTATTATTCATAGCAGAGAACATATTAGTTATTGTATGATACCGTCTACTTAGCATTGGATTGAAAAATTGCCATCATTTTAGAGCAACAATAAACAAAACTTGCAATTCTCATACAATATCATGGCTATGGCTATTGTATCACAGTTGATAGAATTAATCCAGAAATCATCTGATGATAAAAATGTCGATATATATTTGTTATTTAAAGCAATCGGTCGAGACTATTATATCGATTCCGTACGAATCAGCCATTGGCAAGTAGTTTGTCATTTTAAAGATACGAATCGATATAAATGTTACGAATTACAAACCGATAATGGTGATAAAGGAGGTCGTATTATTTATCGAATTTCCAATTTCAATTTTGATGGTGTTATCTATTACTATTATATTGGTCAATGCAATACAAATGAAGCAGATTTAGAGCAAAAATGTAAGACGATTAATATCAACAATCAACACTATGCACTAGGTTTTAGAGATTGTCAAACATGGGCTAGATTATTAATTGAAAGTTTAGAATTGTCTCTTAAAGGCGCAGGACCATTTTTAATGAAATATTTTCCTGTTTCCAATGTTGAATGGAATATAGATCTTGATGGCACTATATCCGCAAGGGTTATTGATTTCATTGTTGAACAAGACCCTACATTAAAATCTTGGTTATCACAAGTAAAACATTGTCGTGGATATAGAAACTTGAGTTGAAAGAAATCAATATCATCAACAGTACTCTTAATTTACAAATAAATTTCTTTCTGACTTGTAACTTCAATGTCTTATTTCTTTGCTTGTCATACATAAAATTCATGTGTTGTATATATACCAAACATTTTGACAATCATTGAAGTATGTACCGTGTGTTGGCTGCCGACTCACTTCACGATCTAGATCACAAACCAAGATAGGATGTAGATGTTGATGACTTAATTCGAAATTCCAAGTATTTTATACTACTAACTTGAAGGTGAGGATAGAAAAAAGATCTTCACTTTCATATACTATTCTTAAGATAAACTTAATTCTTAAGGATCAGTTCAAAAGCAAAGTAAGTCGGCATTTTTATTTGTGAAATAAATGATTAAGAAAAACTGAAAGGCTACAGCCATGCTCAAAGAAAGTCAACAATATTCAGATATAATCAGTTACAAATTCGACCGAGTGTTATGATATTTCAACAATTGCTCATATCACTAAGGCATACTTTCGTGATCATCTAAATATTTTGTACTGTCAGAATTATAATTAGAGTTCGAGTTCGTTGTATGTCTATTCCGAAAGTTTCTATCTCTACCTCTTTATAGTTTTAATATACGAGTAATTATACATTTCATGAATTGATAATTGTTTCAATTACATAATCATATTAGTAAATATATTATATTTATTCAGAAGGAAAACATTGCAGAGACACAATACAAAAAGCTGATTATTGTAGAATTAAAATATATACGTATATGCGTTAAACGTTAGAGATATAATATTCACAAAATGTTTTCTTTTTTTTAATGTCTTATTATTATGATTTGACATGTTTTATTGGATTAAGGTAATCTGTTGAACTATAAATTTAATGTGAATGTCCACTTCCAGGTGCACCTGATGTTTTTGTTTTTTGATTTAAATTTTGAATTGGTGTTTGACGATCCAGATTAGTTTCTTCAAGTTCATCACGAATCATTTTTTCTAAACGTTCATGTTTCATTTCTTTACTCAATTTATCATCCTTAAACAAAAAAAAAAAAGAATGAATCTCTTATTATTTTTCATATTATTTTTTGTTTTTAAATTTACTTCAGAAATACTATTAAGAATTCTTGTTAATGCTTCACGTCGTTTCATTTTTCCTTTTTCTAATAATTCTAATTTTGTTAAAACATTATCAATCTAAATATTAAAATAAAATTTTTTTTTTTTTTTCAAAAAAAAAAATAATCCTTACTCTTGAAACAATACTTCCAATTGAATAT